TGCCCGTTATCGTCATTTTTCTTTAGCTTTGTCATTGATGATATTCTGAATGTATTGTTTTGAAAGTGGTGAGTCGTTATAGTATAGACCTGCCAGTCGGAGAGAAATTATCCCATCTTGAGTATGCCAGCTGTGTAATAACATAGGGGTTATCCTACTCTCATTCCACCAGTTGGTAATTACTGTCTTTATTGTTTCCTACTGGGGTTTGCTGCGTCCAAATGCAAAAGTACTGTTGCAAGGCTGGCAGGAGTTTGTACTCACGTTCACAGTCGCGAAAGAGCTATTAGAACTAGTTGCCAAGATCTTGTGTCTAGATAGCTTCATGAGTCCTGCATGTGATATTTTTTTATTCCTTCACGTTCCCAGTGGAACATAGGGCTTCAAGCTAGAGACTTGAAGTTTCTGTAGCAGTGTTTATTTTTACAGGATTGGGTTGCTAGCCTCATGCCCAACCTTTCCTCTTTACCAGTTTTTTTTAATATTGGCTTAGCGAGGTAAAGGAGTGCGTCGTCCGGGAATCGAACCCCGGACCATGTGCATGGTCGGCAAGCGTCCTAACCGCTATGCCACCGACGCATGTGGTATGACGTAGCATAAATGACATTTGCATAGTGTTAGCCTTTATTGGTATGAAGCGACTCAGTAGTGAACATGCTGTAGTTCCCTTTTTTCTCTTTTCGTCATAAATAATAGTAAGTAATGAACGTTAGTATGAGTGTTCTTGTTGCAAAATCATTTCATTTCTCCCTTATCTATGTTGTTATTTCATTATTTTATGTCACGCATCTCTTCATAGCCATACTGTATAAAGTCGGTGTTTCGATAAATAAGTAAAACCTCATAATTGTGTGTACTATTCACTGACGAGCGGCTGGTGGGCCGAATTAGAGTTCATATTCAGTAGAATGATCCAAATATCCTCAACTGAATGTAAAACACTATCTCATTTCGTCTAATCGAAATTCTCAACTGTTGGTTTGCAAGGATTTGATAGGTTACACGTTTGATCATGAGTTGAAATCAGTTACAGAACCACCAGAAAATCTGGGAGTACCAGACAGCTGTTCTCTGAAGAGTTCCACACTAGAACAGAACAGAACAGCTATCCAGTACTCCTTAGTTTTCCAATGGTTCTCCTTACAACCAACACTTGATGATTAGTCTGATGCTCACTAGTGACTGACTCTATACAGGAAGTTACCTGGAGTTCTAGTGAGAAGCCATGACCAGCGGAGCCCTCCAAGTCAAGTTACTCCAGGACAGTTACTCCACAATGAAATCGACTGACAGTTGCACTATATTATATATCACGAATTGGCAGAAGTTGGAGTTCATGGGTTGGCCATTGGATCGGGTCCCAGTGTTTGAGTGGTTTTCGAGCTCGCCTTGTAACCGGAAGGTTCCAGGTTGAAATCCCAGTGGATTCGAACTGATGAAGAGGCCCGAATTAGGATGAAATGGTTCTCTATCTGATGTCAACTTGTGATTAAACGTGTAACTATTAATCTTGCCTACCTCTCTCACCTGTTTTACTGTTTCAGAACTATTTTATTACCTCCATTCTGTGTATATGCTAGATATATCTCTATAACCTAAAATTATTGACATAAAGGAGATTATAAAGCAGTCAGAAGTTACATTTCAAAACTGTGAAGTTATTATATTATTATTTTCTCCAATTCCGAGTAGAACACGGGGCTTCCACAGCACATCACTATTACACTCTATTCTCTTCACTCCTTTTTCAGTTAACTCCATAATGATCCGTTAGCTTCTTTTTTCCTTCTCACACACGTTCTTCTTAATTTCATCCTCCGATCTACGCCGAACTTGTCGGTTTCCATTAGCATTACACTCCAGGACCTATTGTATGATGTCACTTGAAGATCTTTTCTGTGCAATCCATCCGCATTCCCTTCTGCACTGGTTTGTTCCCGGAGTTACTTCTTACTTAGCCATTCTGATCGGCCATCTGATCTTCGGTATCGAGACGTTGGAACCAACTGTTGATGGAGGTCTACAGCAGCCTGTTGGAAATGCTTCCTGTGATGCACTGACTCACTTGACATTAGCGTTGATAATTCGAATCTTGTTCCTTACGCTGAGCTCAGTTACCAGAGCAAGGAAAGACTGATAACTGCTTCTTTCTGAACGCATAAATTAGGTTTCAGGCGCTTGATGGAGATGGCTTCAGCAAACTTAAGGAGAATTGAACTCTTTTGCCTATTGATAATTTTGAACGATCTTGCGACGTCCACCTCATGACCCATGTCAAGGAGATGTCTGGTGATTGCACTATTAAAACCATTTGTCCCATTGAGATGTAGGTATGCCCTTCTTTCTGTTCTTCCAATGTAACTGCTCCGGAAATACATATTAGTTTGTATATACAGTTGGTAATGAACGAAGTTGTGAAGTTACTTACCTTGAATTAACTATATAAATATATGTAATGAATTGTATTCAGTGTGTTCACAACCTAATAAAATTAAAATAATACTGGATTCATTTATGTGTTTATGTATGAATAAAAACAAAACTATGCCGCTATTTTTTTTTCGTTCACAGTACATTTTTATAATATGTGTAGACTGTTTAGGTTTAAACTGTTGTTTTAATATTGAAGTTTATTTGACCCTATCTGTATACGTGCATATGAAATATTAAATCACATGGTGTATTTGACAGATTACTAGACATATTGTCATACTTATTTCTGTGCTGTCTTACTTCACAGGTTTCTGTTTGACTCGTAAAAGTTTCATTACGGTCAACGTCTATTCATGAAAATGGATTTTTTAAATTTTAAATGAGTCTGAGTTTCAGTGGTAGAGTGCTTGTCAGCCACTCAGGAGGTTCAGATTTGATCTCCGGCTGACACACTTCTAAACCATGCCTAGTGAGCGGTAAGCGCGGAAGAATTGGAAGGTGGGGGCGAGTGTCAAGCCATATCCTCTCAAAACGATTAAAATGATTTCAACCTCTAAACACTGTCTGAGTGATGTGGATTCAAATCCACGAAGGGACATTAGTTCTTTCGAAAGGGTGTCAAAGATCACGAAACCTAAAGTTCAAGGTTTCCTACCGATTTCATCCAACCATCTTACATCAATTGAATGTACACTGCAATGATGAGTCACCTAGCGTGGTGGCCACATTTCAAACTTAATTGATAGGATAAATGTCTGCACCGACACCAAAAACTAGACGCATTCTATTAGCTACTATTTAGTGACTAATCAATGTATCTATCACAGTTCTGCAGGAGGTCAGTTGTGAGCCCGAATAGCGCAGTGGTAATGTTTCTGAATTTGAATCCCCATGAGGACACTGGTTCCACCATCCTGGCAATTGCCAACAAGCTTGAAACCTAAGTCTAAGGCCTCCTACCTATCGCCACCAACCATCTAACATATACCTGCTAAATTGTATGAAGTTAATTACTCGTAGTAATAAAATTAAAAGGCTTATCATACTGTGTTTAAATAATTGAAGTCGAATTTCTGTCGCTATTTTACCAAAGTTTTGATGAATCACTTGGTAGCCTTCGTTTTTTAAGTGAATTCAATACATTCAGATATAGCTGAACTGGCACCTTCTTATGACATCTATAGAATTACTTTATTTCAAAAGAGATTACTTGAAGTTTTAACAAGAAGACACAGCAGATGTATTATTATATTATTATTGTTTCCTTTAATTCCTAGAGGAACATAGGGCGTTCGGTTCTCTGCTAGAGTCTTCACCTGGCTCCAAGTCTGCCCACACGTTTTCATCTCCTCTTCACATGACCTCCTCCAAGTCACCCTTGCACTGACGACCAACTCACCGCTTCCCTTTCGGGTTCCACTCGAGCAATGGCTTGTCTAGTGATGTCACTTGATGGATTGTTTCCTCAGAGTATGGCCAGCCAATCCATCTCCATTTCTTCCTGCCTATTTGTTGCACAATCGGTTCCTGGTTGGTTTGCTCCCAACAGATGTATACCTAACGCAATCATTAGACTATGTCATTAACCCTCTGATATTAGAAAATATAGGTGTATTCATCACTACTCCAGCAGTTCTTAGTTAGGTGAATTCCGAGTGGAACATAGGGCTCCAAACTTGTGATTTGAAGTCTCAGTAGTGATGGTTGGGTTTGCTAGCATCATGCCTAACACATTTCCTTTCTAGCGAAACTGCTACCAGCTAATAAGGATGTCAAAACCAGATTTCAGAAAGGCAAGACAGACAGACCTTCATCACTCTGAAATAACCAATTTGGAAACTCATCATAAAAAACAAAATTCGGATTTTCAACACCAATGTTTGGTCAGTCACTTCTTCTATATGAGTCAGAAACTTGGCGCGTCACGACGAACACTTTCAGCAGGCTACTGCCTTCGCTGGCTCAATATTGAATGTCAAATAACCAGAAAGGATTAAAAAACAAGAAACTCTGGCGATGAACAAACCAACCAAGAGCTTATTGCTAAACGAGTATGCTGAAGAAAATGGAGATGGATTGGGCACACGCTGAGGACACCGTCATATAACATCGCGCGCAATGCAGGCCATCGCTAGAGTAGAACCCAAATGGGGAACGACGAGTTGTGTGTTGACCCTAGAGTGACATAGAGGAGATCCAGCGAGTGGGAGGAGATGAGAGACTACGGGAAATCACGGGGTCAGCTGAAGAAGACAGCAGAGAATAGGACGAAGTGAGGATGTACTGTTGAAGCCATATGTTCCAATCGGAACCCAAGGGAACAATAGTAGTAGTTAGTAATAACACTACCGGCTGAGCGAGGTTCGTAGAGTGCGTAGTTGGCAAGTTGGTTGGTAAGTTTCCGACTCGATGTTTTTCGTAGGATTAGCGGTAGTTTGACTTTTCAGTGAGTTATTTGTTAAATTGTCAGTAGATTTCAATTTTTAACGTGTTCACTTTTTAAATTGTTGAATATTCCACTACTTTATATCCTTGTTTTTTTTTTCTCTCTGTTTTCTCTCTTGTAGGCTTACATTCTGTAGCCGATATCTATTGTGATTGTTGTCATACTGTATTAGGTTGGAAATATGAACAAGCCTTTGAGTCTAGTCAAAAGTATAAAGAAGGCAAATATATTATAGAATTAGCCCACTTGATTAAAGATAATGGTTGGGATTGGATTCTATCAGAATTAGAACAACGAAGACCTTATTGACACACACCCTACAAGCAAACAGATAGAATTCCCCTCTCCCTTGTGTTTTCCCTTCCCTTCCATTTCTTTCTTTTTTTATATGTATTACTTCTTATGTATAATAAGTGAATTGTTTAATTTCAAAGTGTTTGAATTCCATACTACTAATATGTACCTTTTATAATACATACCCTACATATTCAGGCCAATAATAATAATACTAATAATAGTACTAATACTATCATTGACAATAATATTAGTAAGTAATGGCCATCATCTTTATCATTATTATTATTATTATTGTCATCAAATAGTATTGCATATAACCTGTATGCAAGATAACGAATAAAATACTCATAGTCTTTCAATGTGAATGGAGGTCTTCACTTATCATCTACTTTCCTTCAGGTGTCTTCTTGACCTCTTCTCTGAGTATCTACACCTCACGCTGTCTATCTTCTATCTCAGTCTCCAACTTTCATTCATACCTGCTTAATGAGATTTAAAGTTATTCTTCACATCTGAGTCACTAATTGATTTTTGACTTCACTTATCTAAGTTCTTATTCTTCAATTGTATCGTCGTTTTTCTTTTTGCCGGCATAAATCAGTTTGCATAATAATAATAATATTCATTTGAACAGTCTTCAGCAGCATTGATTCCTACAGAGAGTCGATAAATAGGAGAAGAATACATACATACAGAATGTATTGAATAACCTTTATTGTTGTATATCGTCCAACATGGCTTATAATCATCTTCTCTGTCATCATCATTGTCATCTTGGACGTGATTATCATCTCTTCTCTCATTCAGCTGTGCTGTCTCCGTCTTTATTCTCATCTTGAAGCGGAGAGGGAGATAGGGAAACGGAGACTGGAGGAGTAACGCCAGACGAAAATATTGTCAAATCAAATTTTTTTAAAACAAAAGTAAAACACTTGTACATAGACATTGTAAACACAACCTTATCCTTTATGCGATCTCTGTTTTGCTGGTTATTCTCTTTCTCTCTGCGTCTATCTTTCTGTCAGTTTATCTCATAATTGCTTCATTTGATTCTCAGGATAGGTAATGTAAAAATAAAAAGGAGGATAATTGATCTTGTTTTATGTATCGCTCTTATTTGTGTTTCTCTCCTGTTTTATCATTGATAACTACAGGTATTCACATTACCCTTTGATTCAATGACTAATTAACTAAATGGATAGATGAGCAACGACATTATATGTGATTGTTATACTACTAACTAATAATAATGATAATCATAATAGGAATGAGAATATTCATGTATGAAACAATTTATAGGTGTCTAATACATATATATATGTACTCAATTCTATCTCGACATTTCCTCTTCTTTCTTTCTTTCATTACTACTACTATTATCATTATTGTCAATTGTTATGCTACTGTTATCCTAGATATAAGTAGTAGATTTGGTGTACAACAGCCAATTTGTAATATCTTTTGTAAATATTTAATAATTAATACTCTTCTTTTGTTTCATTGCTCTTTTTCTGTTTGCGTATTAGAAGGATATATTACATAATCCTATTCTCTTGTGATATATATTCAAGTGTATCTCCCCTTGTTAGTTTGTCACTTGTTAGAGTCACTGATGAACACTATCCTCCTTCCTCTTCTCCTTCTCTTGTTTTCTACTATCTCTAAAGTTCACTTCTTTATGGAAGATAGTTCCCTGCCAGCTTGTCAATCGTTTTCCCCTTCTTTTTCTCTTTTCTTGTCCCTTTTGCATCAATTTGTTATATTTTATCGCGAAATTTTCAGCGATTTCTATCGTTCTAACCTAATCTATCCTACCCTACTTTATACTTCGTTTCTTTCTTCTTCATTTCTATTCATTATTCACAACCATCGACTTACAGACTGATGCTTACACTCTTCTAATGAGTAGTATATATTACAAGATAGGATTGTTCATTAATTAGCAAAGAAAACAATAATGTCATATGTTATACTTCTCTTTTGCTTTTTTTTTGTTTCATTCAACTTGTATGCTAATTATCATTATGCTATGACTACTATTCATAAGATTGATTATATATTTTGATTCAGGGGGATGGGCAGAATTTAGCATTACTATTTTCCATAATTTATTCCCTTTATCGTGTTCTATCTTTTAACAATACAACGAGTGGTTTACCGAGAGACTAATAGAGTGGAATATATATTCCAGTTTGTGTGCTTGAAATGGAGAAAAGCAGCGAAAACAGACGACTGAACGTGTTTTATATATACACATTCATGGATATACACATGTCAATCAGGAATCAAGATGTTTTTTCTTCCGATGCGTTTTGAAGGGTTGGAGAGTGAGAATGGCCAACAAAACATGAGCACTATATAGTGAACTGTTTATTCAGCCTCCTTTATGATGATGTATATGATATTATTTTAAGCAACAGTCTGTAGGTGTTATTATTTATTACACATATATTAATACTGTAACCACCGATTGATGTGGTAGATTTCGCATTTATTTAACTTTTTATTTATTTACCTGTTAAGAAATAAGAAGTAGTCGTGGTGATTCCTTGTGAATTTCGTCTTCTTCTTCTTCTTTAACTATATAATCTTTCTCTCTCTCCCTCTCCGCCTCTTTCCCCGCGCATTTTCATAATATTCTTCTTTGTGTTTCTCTCCTACTCTTCTACATGTGTACAACATGCTGAACTTTATTTAATTAATTAATAATCTATGGCTACATTTAAAAGCATAGTGAACTTTTATGCCTTTCAATTTTAGGAATGAATATATATTTTGATCTTATTTTTTCTTTGTTTACTTTTTTTTATCTTAAAAGTGTTCAATTTTTCCAGCGGTATTTTTAAAATTCGCGCCTTTTTTCAATGTTCAATGTTTGTTATTTGAAGGGATTGTTGTATTGTTTGTTGAACTTTCAAGTGAGAAAATAAAAAACTGAACATTTAGATCAGTTTAAAATTATTTGTTAAATATTATTACTACTACCGTTCATCTTTTCTTCATTTCATTTGAGTATATTGTGCATGTGAACTGGATGCCATGTTGAATGTATTCTTGGGATGTGTTTCTCTTGAATAGGATAGGACATTGAGGTGATTTTACACTAACGAGGAGACTTCCCTCCATACTACTACTAATGCAACGACTATTATTATTATTATTACTATTACTACCATTATTATAACTCTTAATATATATAAATACTTTTTATTGTTAATATCATTGTTATTATCATTTGAGCTGGGCTCATTGCTATAACAATTGTATTTTCTTTTTTTTTGTTTATTTGGCATATGTGATCGAGTTGTTCTGTGTGTGTTATTATCTCTGTGTTTTTTTAGTTTGCTATGTTTCATGAATAATAATAATAATAATAATACTAATAAAATAAACAAACTATAAATAGAAAAGAAAGAGAACAAGTTTATTGTTAGTTGTTTTTTTCTGTGTGTTTGTTCACGTGGTTTTAAACGAAGTTTACGTGTTAAGTGGGAATTTTATCAATATTAAAAATGTTGCTATAAGAGGTTTCTGTGGGATAGAATTTACATCGGTGGTTCAGTGATAGAATGATCGACGACCACGCACATCATATGGCGTTTTGAATCTCAGCAGATACACTTCTGAACCTCGCTTAACTCGTACTATTATTATTATTCCCTTGAGTTCCGAGTGGTGCATAGGGCTCAACAACACATCTCCACTTTCTTCTTCTTCAATTCTCTGGCGTCCCTTTCAGCTGGATCCACGATTGCCCAAACTTTCTCGTCTCTTCCTCACACGATCTCCCCATGTCGACCCAGGATGACCCACTCGTCACTTCCTATTCGGATTCCACTCCAACGATGGCCTGCTTTGTGTGCGATGTTATTTGATGGTTTCCTCAATGTATGCCCGATCAGTCCATCTCCATTTCCTCTTACATATTTGTTGAGCAGTCAGCTCTTGGTTTGTTTCCAGCGACAGTTTCTTGCCTTTAATTCTTTTTGACTGGTCGATCATTCGATATTCAGTATGGAGCCAGCTGGCGAAGGTGGCAGGTGTTGATAAAAGTCTGTAACTTGTAGGAATTCCTTTTCGTGACACACTGGCCAAGTTTTTCACCCGTATAGAAGGACCGACTTGACATTGATGTTGAAAATCTCAATCTTGTTCCTTATGCTGAGTGCAGAAGATTTCCAAACTGTTTTTAGAATGATGAGGGCGTATTTTGTCTTTCCGATTCTGACTTTGACATTTTCATCCGTTCCACCTGTAGTTCAAACGATGCTTCCTAGATAAGTGAAGGAAGTAACCTTATTCAAATCTCTCTCTTTGGTGGTGACTGGTTCTGGTTATTGTTGTTGTTGCTTTTTTGTTGGTTAGTTATCTTCATCACCTTCGTCTTCTCTATGTTCACCTGGAGTCCTGTCTTCATTGCCAGCCTCTTCTGCCGGTTTGTTGGTTTTCGCCTGTAATTCTTCGAGTTTGTGTGACATTAAACATAAATCATCCACTCGTGAAATCCAGATCTTCTAGAGTCTTCTTATCTGTCATCCAGCGTATTCCTGACTCCTCGCTCCCTACAGTCTGACGCATAATCCAGTCCACCACAATTAGGAATATCATTAGTGATAATAGTCAGTCTAGTCTTACTCCTGTATGCACTTCGAACGCCTCGACACGTTTTCCGTTTTGGATCACCTGACACGTGGCAGGCATTGCCATATAGCCAGCTGTTGAATGAGGTTGATAAAGACTTGGGCACTGCATGCCGTATTATTATTATTGTTCCCTTGGATTCCTAGTGGAACATAGGGCTTCAACTGCACGTTTCCACGTGCTTCTGTCTTCTACTGTATTTTTCACCTGCATCCATGTTAATCCATACTGTTTCAGTTCTTCTTCACACGATCTCCTCCATGTCACCCTTGGACGCCCCACTCGCCGCTTACCTTTCGGGTTCCACTCGATGGCCTGACGCGCGATGTCACCCGGCGGCCTCCTCAGCGAGTGTCCAATCCATCTCCACTTTCTCCTGCATATTTGTTGAGCGATTGGTTCTTGTTGGTGATTCTTTCCGGCCATCTGATCTTCAGTATCGAGCGAAGACAGTTGTTGATAAAGGTCAGCAACAGGCTGTTGGAAATATTCTTGGTGACCCGCCAAGTTTCTGATCCGTATAGAAGAACTGACTGACTTGACGTTTGTATTGAAAATCCGAATCACTTTTTTGTTGATGCTGAGTTGAGTGACGAAGATTTCCAGATTGGTTTCAGGTTAATGAATGTGTTTCTCGCTTTCTCGATTCTCGAT